TTTTGTAAAGCCTCTTGCTAATGAAATTATATCTTCAACTTTCAAAAAAAAAAATTTGTCATTAGTCTCCATATCTAGATGAATACCTTGCAGACAGCTCATGAACTACTCCCAAGCCTCTTTTTCCCAATCAAACACGTTTCTACGTAACTCAACATGCCACTGCCACATCCGATTGGTCCAAGAACCGAACTCACAAACCTTCCCATGTTTGTTTGTAACTTTCAGGGTTTGTTATAATTTTTTAACAATCTTACAAAATTCACACTCATGTTTCTCTTTGAAAGTGTTAACTGTTTAACATATGATTCTAATATAAAATGTTTTATTTTATTGGTTTTTGGTATGTGAATGCGATGAGTATGAAACAAATTGATATGATAATGTAGTAGAAAAATGGAATAAAGTTTAGTTTTTCATTAAAAGTCCATTTCTTACAAATTACATGGCTAACAATTTTGTAGACTAACTCACCATATCAATTGTAGTACTAGTACAAAAGGAAAAGGTAGTAATGAATGAAGCCATGATACAAGAGAATGAGAAGGATGGAAACAATTTAGCTGCAGCCTCTTAAGATTGAATGATCCCTATAACAACTATAATGGCATTAAACCTTACCACCCGTACAATTCAGTCATGTCTTCTTTGTAGCTTTTGCGAATATAGAGAATGTGAACTTGTCAAACGAGTTGTACAATGCATACCCTGCTACCATTGATGTTACGTTCTAAGGACAAACATTTCCTTTTTGTTCCTTTGTTTCACGCTTGAAGATTTCCTCCATTTAAGTTAGATTCATGTTATCAAGTAGCCTATTTATGCCAAGAAGAACGACTGTATCCCTTGCCTCCACCCTCACAAACAACTTCATTGTCATATCAGGTCCATCACTAATCTCGCTATTTCCCAATTGATAAGGATAATTGAAATCACATTGGTGAATGATTGATCGACAAACCAATTGTATATCTAAACACCACGAACCCACTGTCTCCCACATTCACAACATGCAAAAAGCTGACCTTAAGTGTGAGAATACAAGTCGTTGATGACCCTTCAACCTTGGTATAGAAGAAAGCTTTGTGCAAGACTCTCCAAGGATCAACTCTTTCCTTAAGCTTATGTTCTTCATGGATAGTTATGAAGGAGTTAGCCATAAGTTGTCAAAGATATTAACCTACATCCATGCCTTTCGTTTCCCATCCTCTGATCTTTGGTTTCAAAAGACTTTATTATCAAGATTTTGCTTAGAGATTAGTGCAGATATTTGTTCAGGTACAATTTGACGTTTCTTGAAAATTCTCTCATTATCAAGATTACCCATATTTTTACAGCTCTAAACTTTGTTGTGCATACATATGATTTCAAACTTTTTCTTAGCAATTTCTTTAAAAGGAAAATTTCTAAGATGAACTTTAATGGATCAATTTCTGTCAAAAAATAAAAGTAATGGAGTAATATTTTTATTTGGTTGTTGCTATGGAAATGAATGGAGTAGGAAACAAAATGATATGTAATAGAAAAAGAAAGAAAGAAAAGAGTTGTTTAGAGTGAAGTCAAACTCTGTTTAATATTTATTCAAAAAAATAAAACACATAAAGCTAAACTAGAAGCTTGTACATTAAGTCTGGATAGGTATAAAAAGGGAAAGAAACACCAACATTGGTAAAGAGGCATATAGTTAAGCTTACGCATATAGTTAAGCTTACTCTTCTTAAAGGAGAGGAAGATATTGCTTGTTAAGGATTTTGAACAGGATGGTTTGTCTAACTTCCATTTTCTCTAAATAACTTGTCCATAATGATAAATGGTATAGTTATGCATTTGGTTCGCTAGCTATATTGGTTCTTATATGATCTTATTATGGGGCACTTGATTGATAAGAATTAGTCTTGGTGCAGCTTTGATGTTAGAAAATTTGCAACTAAAATTTTTTAAGAACCACCAGCTAGTGATCCAGAACAAATAAATGTTTTTTATATAGAATGCTTTCTATCTAAAAAGGCTAGCTGGGCAAGTCCATGCCATAACAATGGTTAATGATATGCTTTTTGCTGGGACATAAGTGTTTAATCTGATTTCAATCCATCTTTCTTTAAATCATTGGTTTACATTGAGTTGTTTTTGACTTTGGCACAAAAGTGAGTTACTTAATCTATCGTTTTGTTGCAGAAGAGGGCTATAATCTGATGGAAAGGCAATTCTGAGCCCAATCTTTTTCAACTTGCTATATCTTTGAAACGTTACACTACCGCTATTATATTTATAACTATATATTAAGGGAAGCCTTGAAAAGCTATTGGCTTGACACTTGGTAAGGCTCTTGGTTTCACACTTGGGCATTTTGTATGTATAACCATTACCATTTTGTGTGTGTGACACATGGCTTGTTAAGTTTGTGGTCTCGCATCTTATTTACTAATAGCATATATAATTTTTGATTTTTTTATATTATCATCTTATCTCTAGCACAAAGGTTCACCTTACTATCCAGAACCTTCCTTCTTTTTGGTTTCTTTGTTTTTTATTTTTCTTTCCATGTGTCTTTATTGGTTCAGTATCTAGAACCTTCTCTTATTTTCTTTACCTTTCTCTTTTCCATCTTTTTCTTGAGTTTCTCCATCTTTCTATTTTCCCTTCTTCATGTTCTTTTGGTTTCAGTATTGAAAATCTTCTCCATTTCTTCTTCTTGCTTTTCCTTTTCTTTCTTATTATTTCCTTGGGTTTTTTGCATTTTTTGGTTTATTGTCTTAATTTTCTTTCTTTTTTGTTGGTGAAAATGAGGTTTAGATGGAATTTAAGGAAATGACAAAATTGACTTCAATGTGAGCTTTTCAATAAGCGTTATCTTTAAGATTTATTTTGCTTCCACCACTCTGTATGCAAACGAGAATAATATGAATAGCTTTAAGGATACAATGAAACTAATGCTTAACTTCATCTTGCACTTTACGAAAGTAGAACACTAGATATACTTAAGGTAGCGTTTGGTATGAAAGAAGTGAGAGCACATTCCCTGCAATGTGCCCAATTAAATTACATTGTAGTGTTTGTTTTGTAACAGACCATTGCAATGTGAGATTGCAATGCAATCACATTACATTGCATTTTGCAATGTTCTTAAAGACATTTTTACGCTTCAACTTTATTACCTTATTAAAAATATTTTATAATGTTATAATTAAAATAAAAATATTAAAATAAAATATATAATATAAGAATCAAAAATTAAAATAAAATTAAAACAACTTTGCAAAGTTGTTCGACCTTATAGTCTACTTTTTGCATCAACTACATTATAAGGGATTTGAATGCTTTTTGTAGTTAATGGGAATTTAACTTTTTATGTTAATTTTTAGAACACAACATTTCTCTTACTCTTGATTTTTCTATTATTGTTTTGTTTTTGTTTTGATGTATTAAAATGGTAGACAGCAAGTCCTTTATATAGGCTTGCAAGTATCTTCTCAAAGACACTCTTTCATCAAGGCACATCTTTTTCTAAAAGACATCTTTGTATTTTTAAGGCATCTTTTTTCCTCTTTTTTTCCTTCTTTTTTAAACCAATTTGTATTTCTTTTTTTCTTGGTTTTTTTTTGGAATTATTTTTTCTTTTTTTCTCTTTTTTCCATTATTTTTTAAACCAATTTGGATTTCTTTTTTTTTCGCTCTTTTTCCTCTTTTAAACCAATTTGGAGGATTTGGCTTTAACATGTATTTTCCTTGGTCTTGTGGAGTAAAAGATGCATTACTTAACTGACTAAAAAATGTAATTTTATACTTTGATTTTTCTTACAATCCATTGATTCAATTTGAACATTTATGCAGCATATGTAATTTTTTTTTCCTATAAAGTAAAAGATGCATTGCTTAATGACCTTAATTGCCTAAAGAGTATAACTTTTTATTTTGATTTTTCTTACAATCTATTGATTCAATTTGAGCACTTCTTAACTGTCTAAAGGGTATGGTTTTTTACTTTAACTTTTCTTACAATCTACTGATTTGATTTGAGCATTTATATAATATGTCATATGTTAATATGAAAAACTAAACAAGAATATAATTAAAATATTTAAAAAATTTCAATAATCTTATCTTACTTTTTCAAATTAAAAAAGTACAAATTGAGCTTATCATGATTAATTCAAAATTGATTCTTACTTTAAGAAAAAATCTCGACAAGACAATGATGACCTTCCCATTCTTGACACATCAATTATGAATATCTATTTAATGTTAATTTTTCTTAGTGTTTTATATCTATTTATATTAATGAATCTAAAAGCTTATATTTAAATTCTTAATGAAATATTATGTTATAATTTAATTTTGTTTCAAAAATGATTAATTTTTTTGCTTTGAATCGAATCATTGACTCAATTCAGTCACTCCTCATACAAAATTGTAAATCTGTCACTGTAAATGAGATAGAGGGAGTATTACTTGTTTGTTGTCTGACAAGTTACATGGCTAACCAATTTGTAGACCAACTCACCATAACAATTGTAGTAGTAGTACAAAAAGAAAAGGTAGTAATTAATGAAGCCATGATAGAAGAGAATGAGAAGGAAGAAAGCAGTGCAGCTACAGTCTCTTAAGATTGAATTATTCCTACAACTGTAATGTTATCTAGCTTGCCTCCCATATGATTGAGTCCTGCCTTTGTTGCAGCTTCCACAAATGGAGAGAGCGGAAACTTGTCGAACGAGTTGTACAATGCATACTCTGCTATCAACAATGCTGCCTTCTCTTAGATAAACACTTCGTTCTTGTTCCTTTGTTTCACGCTTCAAGATTTCCTCCATCTTAGATGGCTACATGTTATCATGCAGTCCATCGATGCCAAGAATGATTATGTCCCCTGTCTCCACCCTTACAAATGATTCTATTGTTAGTATCAGGTCCATCACTAATTTTGCTATTTTTCAATTAATAAGGACAATTGAAATCACATTGTTGAATGGGTGATTGATGGACCAATTTTCTATCCCTAAACACCATGAACTCACTATCCCCACATTAATAAAATGCAACAAATCCACTTTTAAACGTGAGAATACAAGCCGTCGATGATCCTTCAGCCTTGATATGGAAGTAAGCTTCAGGCTAGACTCTCCTAAGATTAACACTTCCCTTAAGCATATGCTTTTTATAGACAACTATGATAGCATTAGCCATAAGTTCTCGAGCGTGCTCATCCTCCAACACCATCAGCCACACCCAAAGTTTGTTCCTCACAGCAAATAAAACATGAATCCCCTCTTAGAGGCTTCAACTCGTTGTCTTTTGGAACATAACATGCTCTAAATTTTTTGTTTCACTCCTTGGCTTGAAATGACTTTGTATCAAGATTATCATCATAATTCAGTTTCGACGTTACATCAGATATTTGTTTGGGACAATTTGACATTTCTTGAATATTTTCTCATTATCAAAACTCATCACATTGATACAATCATCAACTTTGTTCTGCATACCCATTATCTCAAGCTTTCTCTTCGTATTTTCTTGGGAAAAAAATTTTTTTCAAATGAATTTTGATGAATAGATTTGTATCAAAGAAAAAACTAGGAATTTTTTCAAATGGAATATATACACCGGAAGAACATTCCTAGTAGCTCATATCCTTTCTTCTGCTTCGACTTGTACAAAAATTGTTTAAAATCATTCTACTTCGACTCATATAAGGATTGTTTAAATCATAACAATAATAAATACAAGCTTTAAAATGATTTTCCTTTTATCAAAATAAAATTGTAGCACATATCCTTGAAAACTATATTACGAAATCTCTACTAACCAACTTATAATACTTTGAAAAAATAATTTATAATATATAATATAAGGTCTTAAACTATTCATTTGGGGAGAATTTTTTTTTTTAATTTTGTGCTATAACCACCAACTATAATACATGCTTTAATTTTTACTTTCTTATAATAAAGTTTTGACTTTATAGTGAATTACATATATTAATTAAATTTGATTGATTCTAGAATAAGTCATAATAAATTTAATTCATTTTTTGCAGAAGGATAGAGTGGTTTGAACACAGTTAAACAATATTCTAGATAACATACAATATTAGCCCAACCCATGGAGATTGTAATGAAGAAATATGTGTGCTTAGATTTAAAATTAGGTTTCTTAATTGCCATTTTATTTTTTGAGGGAAACATACAAAACTTGCTGTGTTCAACATGAAGCTTGAGTTCCAATACTTTGAAATATGCAATATTAGTTTAGAATGGAAAATTAATTTATATTCTTTAAGTTCAGTGGTGAACTAGTATAGATAGCACACCAGTGCATGAGTCAGGTTAAAAATTCTTAGAATTTGCTTCACTTTCATTGATGAAAAGTGTACATATATATATATATATATGTATGTATGTATGTATGTATGTATGTGTATGTATATGTATATGTATATTCTCATGTTATAACATAAAAGTGATTAGTATAATCTATATTTGAATTTAAGCTATTTGCAAGATAAGATAATTGACAAAGAGAAGGCAAATGACCCCAGAATAATTGGCATCCAATAGGACTTGGTTTCATCCAAAAGAAAGGTTTAAAGGGCAACTCACCATTCCCATGGGAATGATATCCTCTACACTACTTGCACCAAGGAATCCACCTACAATCCTCACTCACTATCCTAAAAGAGTTCTACAGTGGTAGAGTGACATGCTACTTACATTGGTTATATAAACAACGCCAAAATTGTAGAATGTCCACCCTATACTCGCTTCTCATCTTTTTCTCTTTGCTCTTGCCCCTGAGCCACGCCCACCTTTCTTTTCAGCAGATCCTGAAGCACGCTTACCACCTCCTCCTCTACCAGCTGGTGCCTTCTTAGCACTTGAATTCCCTGTCCCTTTCAACTCCATTTGTACTTCAATTCCTAGGCAAAATAAGGCAAGATTTCAAAACAATCAACCGGTACAACAGGAACAAATATATATCAAATAATCACTCTTGATTAAAAAACAAAAGGATGAGACAACGGCAGCAACCTTTGGAGTTCAGACTCAGAAGTTCTGCCTGCAGCTTCTCACCATCGGTAGTGCCTTCTGTTGTGCCAAAAGAAAGGGCATAAACATAATTAATGAATGAAATGAATAGTACATATTCAGATATTTGTCCGAAAATAAAACAACACGAAAACTGTATATGTTCCCCCTTTTTTTTTTTTTTTGCCTTTTTGAGAAACTACCCAAGTCCTGGTTGTTACAGCTCACTTTTGTTTGTTCCACTTATCACGAGGACTTCAAATAATCCCCCACTTATTAGAGCTTTGGACTTCCAAATCAAAGTCAAGTTTATACCTTAAGAAAAGGGGGTGGAGTGTATGTGACTTCCAATTTGAAAACTCAAGTTCAAACCATGGGAAGAAGGGATAAGGTTTAGGCAACGAGAGAAGTTATGGTGGGTTTAATGGGATGGAAAAAGGAACATCTAAATGCTTAGAATTTATCTTGAGATGTCAAGTTAGAAACTTGGGAAGGGAGGATAAGGTTTATGAGATGGGAGACAGCTACCACCCATAGTATGCTCAAGGCCTAGCAGACCTCCAAATTGATAACAGGAAAAATCCTCACTTTAAACAAGCCTTTCTGCACCCTCACTAAGAAACATTTTTCTTCCACTTTAATGTTAGCATCACAAGTTTCCCTGATCCAATGCGAAATGCTGGGTCCTTGTCCAGCAAATTGGATTTTCAATGTTTCAAGAGAACTAGTACAATGCAGAACAACATATTTCTCCTGCCACTTTAGTAGATTCAAATGCGGATGCATATTTCTATTTTTAATTTTTAGTGTTGATGAGTTATTTTTCTTAGAATCAAATAGTAGACCTTTATCAAGATTCTATCATGTCAAAAGACAGTGAAAACAAGTGCCACATTAATTTTGCTAAACAGATAACTGAAAGATATAATTGATGAGTGCAATGCAAAACAGCAATGAAATAAAGGAAATTAATTAAAACCACTATTAAAAACAAATTATTACCCAAGTCCTCTGTGTCTGAAGAGTTCTCTTCACTTTCAGGCAATGTGTCACCATTCTCCTCCCCTAATACATCACCTGATGGTTCTAGTATTGCAGCAATTCGCTTCTTAGGGGCCTTTTTCATTCCAGGAAGAGTTACTAAATCTGCAGCTCGTACCATTTGTGTCCTGCTTCCTTCATTGTATGCTTTTGTCAGAGCTGCTTTGACAGCTGGTGGAATGCCTTCCAGCGGATTTGAATGCCCCTGAGCACAATTATTCAGAAAAACAAAAGTATGTTAAAATGAAGCTACATATGTTATATAGGCTATAGAAGTAGAGGGTACCTGGAATTTAGATAACTCAACAACCGTATCAAAATCCTCCTGGCTTATTGAGTAAGCATTCATAAACTCAACAACCTGCTTAACAGCTTTATCCTGGTCCATGAAGGAGAAAATATAAAAAGATTTAAAACAGCAACCTCTCACATCTAAGGCACCCATAAGGCACAAAGGCCAACTGCAAACACATCCAGACATTTGCATGCACATACGTGCACTAAGATAAACAGAAGAACATAAACAAAATATAAGAAAATAGGGAAACAGGAGAAGGCACAGGTACAAGGAGAACAAGAGATATAATGCTTCAGGCCCAAAAATCAAGCATTACGCATAAGAGGAAAAAAAAAAAAGACAGCAGGTAGAGAGCAAAATGAGAGATGGTCAAGGGTTCTGATAAACAAAATTCAGACTAAAGGGATACAGATCAAAAGGTGAAGAGCATTTAACACAAAACCTCCCCATTCCACCCATCTCCCCAACACACATATCCAACAAAGAAAGGAGCCAAAGGAATATTTGGAGAGGAGAAAGGGCAGAAAGAGTAACATAAGCAAGGGAAGAATTCTCTCCTCTTTCCTTTAAAAGGAATAAAACCACAGGAGAACAAAGAGATGATGATTTGTTTTTATATATTTCAGAAAGGCAAAGTAAAATAACACTAGGTTAATGCCTACTTAATTAGAGTCATTGAATAAATTAGGTGATACAACCACTAGCAAACACCCTAGTCTTACATCTCTATTTGCTTCAGCAGAGTTACAAAAAACATGTAATTCAATACACCTCATTCAAACATGTGGGCCTCGAGGACACCATAACTTGCAACAGCACATATGGCCTGCCTTGGGTCACACAATGCTTACAATAAACTAATTTAAAATGTAAGTTCCGAACCTTAGGCTTGTCTCGAAGCGGATTAGTCAATTGTGTCAGAAGAACTGTAAGGTAATCAAGTCGAAGAGTCTCTCTGTATCATTTGCGACAACCAAAACACTATTCAACTTAAAAAGGAGACATTAACAAAGATAAGGTAATCAAAATGAGAAATAAGACCCTATAGTATATGAAGAAATAATTGAAATTCCATGAGAGCTAGGACAAGTGTCATTTTCTTTAGCTATCCCCCTATGGTTTGTATCAATGAACCAAACAACTTTTATGAAGGCTGTGGCTCATGCAACAATCTATATGCATAGATTCACACACATGAATGCAGACACGTATGCAAATGCATGCAAAATGAGTTCTTCATTTCTCCCTTTCCATCTCTCTTGAAATCATAAGACTTCAAAGATCGATAGAAATGCCTATAAATTAATTTAACTAGTAGCAGAGCAGATCTTTGTACAAAAACAATTGATGACAATGATGTCAATCAGCTCCGTTTCCTCAAAATTATTCACACAACTAGATTAGGAAATGCATTTCGATAAACAAGTATGTCAACATATTGGTTTTTATCACAATTGCTTAATTTACGCATCTTGTTAGCATATAAAACTGATGACATTTAAACATCTACGTTAGCACATCTTAGCATGTTAACAGCCGCATGGGAAAGTAGACCATCTCAGACTTCAGTATTTGGCACTCTACTTCAGTTAGTTTATCTGTCAAAATGGTATATGTAAATGCAAAAATAATGAGAGAAGATATCATTAACGACAACTCAAGCATGTGGCTAGTTTATCATTTACCGAGGATCAAGTCACAGATCAGCAGGGAATATGAATAAAAAAGGCTTAAATAACAAAAAAAAAACCCTAAATTATGTTGGTTTATGCAACTAAGCCCCTATACTTTTATTGTACTCAAAAAAGCCCTATTTTTTTATCGTGCCCACACAAGCCCTTAATCCATAACAGAAAATTAACAACCATCAGACCCAATACTAGCTGAGATTTTCTGACCACGTGGCATATGATGTTACCCCATGGCAGCTGAGGTGGATTTTTTACATTTTCCCCTTCCACACCATCCACATGGCATATGACATGGCCACCTCTACTATCACATGAAAAGAAAACACCAACTAGCATTAGGTCTGACAGTTGTTAATTTTCTACTACAGATTAAGGACTTGTTTGGGTACAGTAAAAGAATAGGGGGTTTTTCATACAAATCAAAGGATAAGGGTTTCTTTTGAGGACAATAAAAATACAGAGGTTCAGTTGCATAACCAGACATAGTTCTTTCTGTTATTTAAGCCATAAGAAATTTAAGAAATGCTTACATGCTTTAAATAGTCTACTGCATACAAAGAACCTGACATGTGAAAAACACATTATGACGGAAAAGTTCATAAAACAGAAGTAAGAATTACCTTCCTGAACTAGATTCACGAGAAGCAAGAACATGAACATGCAAATCCTCCAAAAGCCTATAATTTTTACTCATAGTTGAATTCTTCCCTAGCCACCCGCCGAATCTATTAAAATTCCGTTCTCCCTGCAGTTGTGAAGCCAGCCTCCAATATTAGGACATATCTAAATTTCAGCAACATGATATCATCATTCTAAACAAAATTGCAAGTGCACAAAGTAAGCTTCATTACTGCATGTTCTACTCCAGCATCTGAGCAGGAAAATGCAATGAGCTTCGAATTGCTCATCCTAAAAGAGGCAATTTGTAGAGGTATGTGGTAGTAATTTCATTGAATTTTAACGCACTGAACACTGCCTACTATATAGAGATCCAGGAAGACAATTAAGGAAGGTGAAATACTAAGCTCAAAGGAGCCACCCAAGCAGATTGACCAAAATAATATTTTCTTCTGTCTTTCCCATTTTATTACTGTTTTCATCCTCTCTCTCTCTCTCCTCAATACAATTAAGGAAGCTGAACACTGCCTGCTAATTGTGATAAACTAGATTTTATGACATAGGCATTACAGTTATTGATGTTAAATTTTCTTGATTGTTTTGCAAGGTTCTGTTCCAGTGCATTAGAGATAGATTAGAGTAATTTTGATGTCACATTCTTTTAGGGGTGGGTTTTTTTCTAGGGGCCAGAATAGGGGTAGCTGTATGTAATTGTGTTGGTTTAATTGTTAATTTCAAGGGCATATCGACAGGTTTGGTTGTTCTGAAAGAAGGTTTTTAAGCAACTGTGGTCAAGTACATGATGGCTCTGATGTGAAGAGAATAATAAACTCACAGACACAGACTCACTCACTCGCTCAGAAGATAGTGGCAGTGGCACATGAGTCATAATCTCTAACTTTTTATGAATTGGACTCCCTTCAACAAAAATGAAGTAGGAGGATTCAAATTGAACTCAATGAAACAAAACAGAGAACATCACCAGCAATTATTGCACTCCAATTGTCCAATCATAATCACAAATTGTGTAGGGTCCCCTAAAACATTATACGAAGTCCAGACTGAAAAGTGGATGATCGACATCCATTTTTGTTGTGACTAAATAATTGTAAAATTGTTGTAAAAATAGTCATAGTTTAATTAAATATTCTGACAAGGTAGGAAAGTTTATTTGACATTTTAGAGAGGCAGTATCAGGCTAGTGAGTTGCACTACGAGAACAAGATAAAGCCTGATAACCGTATCAATCACCAAAGCATAAAGAATGAGCTAGCCATGAGCAGGCTTCTAGAAAGGACATAGAATGCTTCAATATTTTGCACGAAAAAATGATGTACGCATAGAATATAAAGGTTAAGAACAGCTTCCATATGGTACTTGCAAACCTTGAAGAAGCATACAGTAAGAAATTTATTTTTTAAAAAACAAAAAGACTAATGTCAAGACACAAACAATTATGGAAGTGCATGAAGAAGTCATAGTAGTATCAAGAAACCTAACTCATAACACTCATTACCTGTTCAAGTGTCTCCCTTTGTCCATGTAACAATGCAGCACTGATTAAACAAAACAATATTGGAAAATATCACTCAGAGAAAAATAAAAATATTTTGAAGAGCTCTTGATAGTTTAAGGCCAAAAAAATACAATACATACGGAATGATACACGAAGAAAGGGAACCAGCTTGCGAGAGCTGCCACTGTCGATATCTTCGAATCTGCACATTGATTATATCACCATCACCAATAGACTCAGCAGCACGGGCAATTAAGTTCATACGTTTCATCCCACTGTCATCTTTACCAATTGAACTCGGCCTATAATTGATATAATTTTCCTGCCATATGATAAAAAACCAGTCACACCTAGAACAATAATTGGCAATTAGTTGTGACATGTGCAATGGATAACTTTGTCCCACCAAATATGCACTTGCAACAATAGGAGATGATTTAGCCAAAACAAAGACATAAAAACAATTAATCAAAAAAGTGCAGGGCAAAAGAATGCAATTGCACTTGTAAAAAGTACATTTGCAGTAACACAGACAAAGAAAGAGTAAAGTATGCAACTTCCGAGCTAAGGACTTCAAATTCAGCTGTTTGGATGCCTTAGCAACATGGTCCACATGATGAAAAGGAATTCTTACAAACCCAAATATTATGCATAAGATGGAAAGCACTTTTGGAAGGTCACCAACTAAAATGTACATAATATTCTCCAGTTGGTAAACAAGGACCCAGGTACTGCCGATGTGAGGGCTATTTTGGTTTTGGGGTGGTGTCTATGGTTGAAGCAAAGCCCACCAAAAAATGAAAAATAAAAAAAGAACATTTCTAGACAAGCTTTTGTACCTTTAATTGATTTACCACATCTTCCAATTATTATTTGATAGTCTTCAAAGTTCTAAGAAATACTTCAGCATTACAAACAATCAAACCATTCAAGCTACATTACATGGAACTGGAGCCAGTATCCAACTCAGGCACTAAAGTTTTTCTAAGTTTTTTCATAGATTTAGAGTCCCAAAATCATTCACAGAATGGGTTTGAGGTTTCTAAGAAGATCTAAAAATCTTTCACAATTCAATAATTGCAACCAAACGTAGTGAGACAAGCAAGAAAAAGCATAACCTGAATAAGAAGTGGAACTAGATCAGGATCACTCATGCTCAGGTCAATTCGCTCGTCCATTCTCAACTTTCCCCCATAAATGCCAAAAAGCCTACAGTGACAACAAATTCAAATGGAGGCACGGGGCAGGAGAAACAGGTTAATAACAGACAACATATTGTTTACCATGAGCTTCAAGTGAGGCAAAATTCAAATAATCAGTAAGTATGCAAGCATAATTGACCATTTACAAATGCCTCATTATTAAGAACTTCCCAATTAACAGGGAAACAGCTTATTTCAATTCCATCAGAATTTTTTCAATGATTGACCATCAAAAAACATCAAAAATTCTTAAACTCCAGAACAAATAATGCTTGAGCCAATAATATCAAACCTAATGGAGACATAGTCATAAGGCACCCAAACTCTGTACTTTACAATATACATCACCAAAGCTATAAACCAGAAAAAGATGGATTATTTTTTTAAAGAATTTTTAGACTCATAAAAGAGGAATTTGCACTTGTCAAAACATTTAGTAACTGGAAATGACAACGGTGTGAAATACTAAGAGAAAAATTATGCGAGAAATAGATTAGGTTAATTGATGATTTAGTA